AGGTGATTTTTATGGGGCCTCAAAGCTCCAATTGTAGCTATCAGTCTACTTCAAAATCATCTAGGGCTGGAGGTGGGGGTGGAGATTTAGAAGAATGAGATTGGCCTCCTGTTGATAATTTCTGAAACTGGGTAATGGCTATAGTAGGGGCTTGCTACACTACCCTTCTCTATTTTTGTTCATTTTATAATATATGGGCCATATTTAAAAAGAATAATGATAGCTGCGATCTTAAGAAAAGAAACAATTGTTTCTAACCAAAATGATTACATATACCTCAATCCTGCCTCGTCTTTTGAGATAATCCTCAAGCTATCATATCAGACTCACTAGTCAGTTTGGGACTGGGCTGTCTCCCCTGGAATAGCTGCTTTCATTTAAGAAATTTAGAAACAGCATTGGGGCTTGACATAGAACCACATTCTTGCTTTAACTTTAGGGAATGATGAGAATCCTAATGAAGTCCCATGTTTGGGTCTCAAAGGCGAAACCATCACAAGGGACATCAGGAAACACCATGGCCTCAGAGTATAAGTAATCCCTCAACCCATTTCTGGAGCCTTTTGGAGAGTCATTGAAAATTTGTCACCCCAGGGGGGGGTGTTTTAGATGAGTTCTTTCTCAGAAGTGAATGGCTGTGTTCCTCTCTCTTTAATTTTTACTTCTCCATAAGGCCAGTACAGACCCCTGTTTCTTACTGCCTTAAAAAGAATTGCTTTACTTTGTTCTGGTTCCTGTAGAATTCGTTTGGAGGAAAAACAAGCTGCACAGCCTATTTATAGACTTTATTGATTTTCTTGGTGTGAAGATTCATATTGTGTTGCTGAAACCCTGAAGTGTTTGATTACGGGGTGCTGCCCTGAACCTTGCTGGGGGATGTTAATGTGGTTGTGTCTCATAGCACCGTATTGCTGTCTTAAAATTAGAAGCAAAAGCCTCAGGTCCAAACCAGTTTGGCCCCAAGGTTTTACGTGAAAGCCCTGGGCCTGGGTTATTTCTGTAAAAACAAAACAAAAATCAAAACAAAACAAAACCCAAAACATTTCATCCTACTTTAAAAGCCAGACTTGTTAGAGATGGAGCTCAGAAGTAGAGCAGGATCCTAGCATGAAGGAGACTAAGTTCCACACCTCATACTGTGCATTTACACACACACACACACACACACACACACACACACACACACACACAAATGTGTTGGACATGACTGTGCACACAGGAAAAGCATGAGTTCTTGGTGAGTCTGAAGTATACAGTGAGACCCTTTCTCAAAAGACAAATAACAGCAAAAAGCAGACCTTAAATGACAGAAAGGAGCTGGATGTACAGACCTGCTCGCACCTGTCCTGTCCTCTCTTTCATTTCTAATGAGTAGTTCAAAGGGGTCTTGTGGAAGACAGCTCCGTTCCCCCATTCCTACATTCCTGACCCCACTTGGTGTATCCTATCACCAAGTCATAGTGCCCAAAACAAAAACATGACAATATAGAAAAACAACAGCACGAAATTCACAGATTTTTCCTGCTAATACTCCCTCTGCTGCCCAAGGCTGGCCTCTCCAAGGACTAGCTTACATGCCTGGATTCTGCTTCTTTTCCTATGCTTCCTGAGTCCCTTCCCTCCACCTGGCTCCAGGGCCTCTGTATCCCTGAATAGCTAATCTCATCTGTGACCTCCTGGCTTCTGGTTTCCTCTCTGGGGATCTGTCTCTGGGAACACAGGCCTTCCTTGTATGATGTACCGCCCCCAGGGTTTCCCCTTATGCATCTCCTGCTCCCTTTGAGGTGACTTCCTCTTCCCCATATGAAACTCTAGAGATGAATTTGGCCCGAGGCTCTGTCCTCTTCTCTCTCTATCTTTAGGTTTACTTCTTCAGGATCACATGCTAGCCACAGCCTCGTCTCCAGCTGTGCTCTCTGCAGTAAAACTGTACCCATCTGTCTAGCTCCCTACTCGACATCTCCCAGCACATTAAACTGAGCCTCTCTAAAACTGCTGTCCAGACCTGTTCTGCCCAGTGCCCTGGGCCTTCTTTTCTGTCAGCTCCCTCTCTAGGCAGAGCACAGACATGGCCTCCCAGTCTAAAACACCGATCTCTGTTCCATCCTGAAGGTCTTCATTTCTCTCTCTTAAACCTCTCTCAACATCATCTGGCCACTGGCAAAGCCGCTATCACATGCCACTTGGACTTCCAGAAGGGTTTTCCTTGCAGCTTCCTGGCTACATACACCAGTTACTGTTGTGAATGCACATCTAATATAGCCTTCTTCCTTCAGCCCCTTAGTACAGCGTGGATCAAGTGTTTTCTTAGGATGAATACAGAGATCTCTGCAGGCCTTTGACTCTCTGGGTTTCCTCAGCACCACTTGTACTGCCCTACCTGAATGACCCAGCACTGCCTCACCCGAGCTGCCTCACTGCCCCTTTCCAAACACACCTGCTTACCTGGACTGTCTGATAAGAAAGAACCATCTCACCTGCACCACTGTGTCCGAATCACCTCTTCTGCCTACGTCATCCCACTTGTACAAGCTGCTCCATCCCACCTGGACCACCCACCTCTCCTGCATAGATCACTCCACCTGGACCACCCCTCTTGCTTGCTTCACCGGCACCCCTACCTGTGCCGACACAGTTACACTTCACCAGTCCAGGCATACCCCCACACTGTGTAACCAGCTTAGGCACGTCTCCACAATATCCTTCTCCCCTCTGCCGTCACTGGTCAGACGGTCAGCTTCGGGATTTCCTCCCCTAGGCAGCATCCCTCATCTCCCGATCCTCTTGTCACAGGTGTTCTGCGCTCTGAGTGCCTGACTTGTGATTTAGCATCTGTTGGTGGGATCAGTTTGCCAGTGTCCATCTCTCCAAGTAGACCATAAACTCCAAGAATGCTGGAACCCTGCCTATTTCATTCTCCTTGGCTCCTACCTTAAGGAATGAAGAGCAAAAGAAAATTTGATTTGAAAAAGGCTTTGGGACTAGCTCCATGCCACCCAAATGCTCTTTTAGTTAAGCCTCCTGTGTAAGCACTCAACATTTTTTATTTTTGAGGTCGACACCCTCATCTGTCCTTTGCACTTGAGGAAACAGGGCTCAGAGGAGTTAGGTGAATTGCCCAGAATCTCCCAGCCACAGCTGCTAAATACCAGGTCCTGCTGCATCAACCCTGGAGGCTGACCAACAGTTGGGGATGGTGGGCACATGAGTAAAACCATCATCTCTTTGTCTCTTTCTTTGCTCCCATGGTCATCCCCATAGCTGGACAAGATGCTGGACCCCCAGGTGTGGCGGGAGGCAGCCACGCAGGTGTTCTTCGCCCTGGGGCTGGGCTTTGGAGGTGTCATTGCCTTTTCCAGCTACAACAAACAGGACAATAACTGCCACTTTGATGCTGCTCTGGTGTCCTTCATCAACTTCTTCACCTCGGTGTTGGCCACCCTCGTGGTATTTGCTGTGCTGGGCTTCAAAGCCAACATCATGAATGAGAAGTGTGTGGTCGAGTAAGTGGCCTGGCCCCTCCGCTCCCTCCTTTCCCCACCTGCCTCGCCCAGGGGTAGCAGCTGGGCCAGGCAGGATGAGAGGTCCCTTCCATCCCATAAGGAATGAGATCATTATCTTCCTCAGCCCTGGCCCACAGCACAGGCTCCTGGTTGTCTCTGTTGGTGGCCTATGGGTGCCCTGTCTGGGTTTCTGGGAGGAGTCTCTGGGGTCCCACTCCTACTTTCTTACCTCCTCTTGCCCTCTTTGGAATGCAGGAATGCTGAGAAAATTCTAGGGTACCTCAACTCCAATGTCCTGAGCCGGGACCTCATTCCACCCCATGTCAACTTCTCACACCTGACCACCAAGGACTACTCAGAGATGTACAACGTCATCATGACTGTTAAGGAAAAACAATTCCCAGCCTTGGGCCTGGATCCCTGCCTCCTGGAGGATGAGCTGGACAAGGTACCAGAACAGACTGCCCTTCCCAGGACAGGCAGGAACCCAAAGACAGGCTTGGTGGTTGGAGCTTGGGGACAGGCCTTGAAAGTCCATAGAACAGTGGTTCTCAACCTTCCTAATGCTGTGACCCTTTAATAAAGTCCCTCATGTTGTGGTGATCCCCCAACCATAAATTATTTCATTGCTGCTTTATAGCTGTAGTTTTGTTACTGTTGTGAATCATAATTTAAATATCTGACTTGCAGGATATCTGATATGTGACCTTTTTGAAAAGGTCGTTCAACCTCCAAAGGGGTCGTGACTCACAGGTTGAGAACCACTGCCATAGACTCATTCATTTGCTAACAAGTGAAGACTTACTATGTATACAGATGGTGAAAGGCTGAAAGTGTCAGCCAAAGCCGCCCAGAGGGAAGCTTATGATTAGATGAAGGGCCAAAGGAGATGCTGAAATCACAGGAGCCCTTGGCAGTTTGAGTCAGGTTCCCCATTTATTGAGCAGGCTTCCTATACACAGGGCCCTGTGTATACAGTCCACTTAGCATGGCACCTGTGAAACAGGTAAATGCTGATACCCTTTAGCTCCCATTTTCTTTGACCCCTGTGGCAGCTCCATGAGTCGGGTATGAATATTGTTCCCAGTTTTATCAATATGCAGCCTGTAGGTTGGGGAAGGGGGTTGATCAGCATCTCACAGCTACTTAGTGAACAAGCAAACAAAACAAAACAAAACAAAACAAAACCCAGAGTCCTTGTTCATCCTCATCTCTTGAAACCCTTGGCCTCCCCAGCTGCCAGCTGCCTCCACTTCCACGGTTACACTGACACTTAGCTCCTGGGCTAGAATCATCTTCCTCATTAATGCTCAAGTTGAGGTGGGGATAACTTTCTCAGTGTTTGCATTTGCACTTCTGGGTACTTTCAAAATGATTGTTCTGCTTCAGTGGCAACAGGAAACAAATCCACAGATACTGGGACTCTGTCTAGAGCCAAGGCTCATGTTGGGGATAGCAAGCCCCATTATCCCCTGAGTTTCTTTGTGAGACCAGAAGCTTCCCATAGAGGTGTCTGAGCACCATGTCAAAGGCTGCTCCACTGCTTAGAGGTGTAGTTTTGTTGGTGGAGTGCTTGTCTGGCATCCGTGCACTTAAAAAATTCTGATTCTGTGCACTTAAAAAAAAAAAAGGATTAACAGAAGAAAAGCATAAAGGCAGTTTTACTGGTCTGTGGGAGCTGCATCCCATCATCTCTGGCTTCTCTCTCATGGTCAAGAACAAAGGAACCCAACTGGTGGATCTCTGGCAGCACACTCTCCTTTATGTCCCATGAAACCCCACCTTTTTCTAATGAGTATAACCTGATCCTCTGAAAAATCTAGGAATATAGCAGGGTTTTCACATAAGGCAACCTCAAGAGTATCTAAATGACAACTAAATGCTCAGGTTGGGCCATATGTTCCCTCAATATCACGGGGCAGTTCTAAGTGATGTGATCAGGCAGTGTGTAGCCTGTGAGAAGGGCCTCTGTATTAAAGCAATGTCTCCCTTCTTGGGCTGTCCATGAGACCCCCTCCTCCAATAGCTTAATAAAATCTCATACCAGCTTAACCCTAGGCCAATGAAATCATGGTCTCTGCAGGAGAGTATGACATGAGTGGGTCTTAAAGACTCTATTTGCTTCCATTGGGCACCTGAATCTGGGTGTATTGCATTAAGATCTGGAGTTCAGCAGTGGGAGTGGGCATTGTAGTTGCAACAAAGATGATGTCTTTGAGGAGCAGAGTCTTACATTGTATGCTTCTAGATGGAAGCATTTTCTGCTGGATCACTGGGGTCCTGAAACAACTTGTAGATTCTAGGTCCCCCAGAGAAATTCACTTGGACTTTATTTTTATTATTTACGTAACATTTTGGTTTAGTTTGATTGCTTTGAGACAGTCTTAATCTGTAGTCCAGGTTAGCCTGAAACTGAATGTGAAGTCCAGGGAGACCTTCAGCTCATGACAGTCCTCCTGCTTCAGCCCCCTGAGTGCTGGAATTACAAGTGTGAGTTGATACAGATAACTTCTCCAGGGAGTCTGATGCTCACTAAGGTTTGAGATCTACTCTCTCAAGCTGAAAGAGTTCAAGTGGCAATAGGGATCCCTATGAAAGAGGGGACGGTGATTCCCATTCCTCTGGAGGAGGGAGGCAGGGGACTTCTGGAGTAAGAGTGGCCCCCACTCTCTGCCCCACTCTCAGTCTGTGCAGGGCACAGGCCTGGCCTTCATCGCCTTCACAGAGGCCATGACACATTTCCCGGCCTCCCCCTTCTGGTCTGTCATGTTCTTCCTGATGCTCATCAACCTGGGCTTGGGCAGCATGATCGGGACCATGGCAGGAATCACCACGCCTATCATCGACACCTTCAAGGTGCCCAAGGAGATCTTTACAGGTAACTAACTCCTTGTCACCCTGCCAGACACCAGCCCAGCATGTGCATGCCACTTAGGTTCTGAATTGATTGGGAATTCAGCATCCCATCTGCAGAAGACTCTTCTCCCTGACTATAGACAGTGCCATTCAGCTACCCACACTGTCAGGATACCCGGCTACCTCTACCCTGCATCCCTGGGGAGTAGGAGTAGGGTAGAGTATCTTCCTACTTTCAAATGGGAAAACTAAGGTTTCCGGGAAAGGATCGTAGGACCAATCAGTTGAATCATCTCAATTCAATTCAGTATTTAAGTGGAGCAGCTGTCTCGAGCCTGGTGCTGTGCCAGGAGCAGGAGCTTGGGGGAAGAATGCAGTTTATGTCTTCCTCAAAAGTCTCCTGCCTGATATAGGGGGAGCTCAGAACCTCAGTTTCCAGCACTCTCCTCCAGGGCTGTGCCTGTGGATCATAGAGTGGGCAGACTTCAGGCCTGCTTAGGAGCAGTGTGATGGGAGGTAGCTGGGTTCCCCAAAGTCCCCCAGGTCCCGCCCACCCTGCACCTTTGCCCCCACACCGGCCTCTCGGCTCTCTGTAGTGGGCTGCTGTGTCTTTGCATTCTTCGTGGGGCTGTTGTTCGTCCAGCGCTCCGGGAACTATTTTGTCACCATGTTTGATGACTACTCGGCCACCCTGCCACTCACCGTCATCGTCATCCTTGAGAACATCGCTGTGGCCTGGATTTATGGAACCAAGAAGTAAGGAGGTCACAGATAAGTGGTGGGGATGGGTGGGTGGGGTTCTGTAGGTTCTTTCTGGGGAGTCCTGTGTTCTCATGGTTGTTTGGGAAAGGGGCAAGAGATTATAGACTATCAGAGCTAAAGGGCCCCTTGGCACCAGGAAACTGAGGCCTATAAAGAGGACATGAATATTGGAGGCTACTTGACTAGTAAGAGACAGAGTCATGCTAAGGATCTTGGGAATTCTTGGTTCAGGATCTGGTGTCAGCCTAAAGGATTAACTACCACAGCCCCTTTGCTGAATGCCAGTCCTTCGATGTCCACTAAGCTTGTTTAGCACTTGGTTGGGATTCCAAGCCCCCCTGCCCTCAAGGAGTTGGTAGACCTCAGGCGCCTGAATCATAATTTTAAGGTATGCTTTTTGGCCTCAAGTTTAGATTTTGTGGGGAAAGTGGATTTAGCAGTAAGGTCAGATCTGGCTTCATGGTCTGACCTGGAGGCAGATCTCCACTTACTGTCAGCTATTTATGGTCAAATCTGCATCCCCCAGACTTCCAGGACATCTGCCTTTCTACTCTCTTAGTATTTACTGTGTCTACTGTCCTCGTCCTCAGAGGGACCCAGGCTTTCCACTACCTAGCTCAGCCTGACCCTCCTTGATGTCCAGATGGGTTTGGAATCCAGTGTCTCTAACAGGGGACATTCACTTCCTGGGAGGGCACAGGAGGAGGTGCAGAAAGCCTTAGAAAAGGAGCACCTAAGACAGGCATAATGACAAATGCCTATTATTCCATCACATGTGAGATTGAGGCAGGATTGTCATGAGTTCGACGCCAGGCTGGGCTATATAGTAAGCCCCTGTCTCAAAAAAAAAAAAAAAAA